ACATTGCGTGAATTACTAACTACGCCTGATGCGTCTGCTGTACTATTGTAAAAGTCAAACTAAACTCGCACTTTTTACTGAGATTTGGAACCTCACGTTCACAGAAAAAATTGAATTTGAAAATGTTGTGTTTCGTGTAGAAATAATAAAGGGATTTCTAAGAAATAAAATAGCRATATATTTAATAAACGAATAAATGTAGTGGTTAAAATATTATGATAACGGGCTATATGGTAGGACAAAAGTTCAAAACCAAAAAGTACGTAATACTTTTGGAAAATCTCGCGTTGTTTGAAAACCTTGTTTCATGTGCATAGCTCATATTACAGCTTTGATATGCGTGTTATCCTTACCGACATAATTTTTTTTGGTGTAATGTAAAGATGAATGACTACATAATTTTTTATGCTACTGCTAAAAGATGGCCCGATTCTTCTGAAGTTTGTTGATTTCGAATCAATTGATGTTTATAGCAACAATTTGGTAAGTTTATTTAAAATACACTTGTAAACATAAATTATTACATTGGGCTTCTCATTTTATTTTTGTCCTAGACCTCAAAAATTCCAAAGACGACCCTGAACATATTTTGCATCTTTACACCGTGTTTTTTGTATTATTATAACTCCATAAGTATAAGTTTACTTGCATCTCATTGATCTGGGATGTGTACGGCGATCCCTTGACCGTCAACACTGATGCGTAGGCAACCGCGTGACGACCGGTCACTGACATTACTCGACACCCGTTCTGGTGACTCATAGCCCTGGCCATCACCATAGGTGTCTCTAACACCAAAATGGTTTGATCGCTGCAAACCGACTTGGCCATCACTTCGATGTCACCGAACTCGTACTGGGGGCACGGTGGCTCGTTCACCACTCCCAGCCACCGGTCCATTATAAACGCATCCGTCTCGTTTGCCTGCGGATATAATCAATAATTAACAATAATCAGCACTAAACTGAAGTGTAACTGTAAATAGTAGTAAAATCTTTATTAAATAATTCTGAGGTATGGTGGCTAAATGATTAATAAATAAATAAATATTAAATAAAATAATATTCAATTTAACTTTTAATGTTCGGTTGGAGTTCGATAAAATATTTGAAGAGTTCGGTTCGGTTCGGTTTCGATTAAAAGTGTATAGGTTCGAATCTGTTCGAGTTCGTTAATTTAAAGAAAAGTTCGGTTCGGGTTCGGTTCGACCTTAAATATTATGGTTCGTAACATCTCTAAAATATATACTATATTAATTATTTTATATTGTTGAAACCTGATAAAAATTAATGCAATTTTTATTTTTATAATATACCTACTGATTTGTGTTTATTTAATGTAATATATATTTATATTATATTATTCTCTTAATTGATATTATAATAGGTTTATTATATAATTTACCACGCTTTTAGAACATTTTAAAGTGAATTTCGTGAATCATCTTATAATATAGTTCCTATTTTGCATTGTTTATAATTATATATTGACACCAAAAAATTACTTAAAATTATATGTAATAAATACGTGTTTAGGAAAAGCATCCAATAGGTGTTTAGTTTTTGTGTACAAATATCTATACTATATGTCTATATCTATGGGTTAGTGAATGATGTGAACAAGAGATAGAAATATATGAGTGTACTAACTTTCCTAATATCGTGTATACTTGAAATAAAATAAAATATTCATATGTAAAAAAGTTTGACTTTTAATCATCCATTACCCAGTATGATCAATTTCGATGAGTTACTTGTTRGGTTAGTGATAGTACTAATTATTGATTATATATTGAGATTATAATGATTGTTTTTGGTTCAGTACCTACGCGTTTAATAATAACCGAAATACTTCAATTAATTTAATTCTTAACTTTGTGAAAAACAAAAACATTCCATGTTTCCATTATAGCATATTGTATTCACTTTTACAATTTAATACTTAGTATTATTATTATTAAATTTATTATTTAAACTATTAACGCTTAAAAAAAGAAATTGTGACTTACGATTTTTGATTTTTTTTAACTACAATAAGAACAACTCATAAGAAACCTTGTATTAAATTTTCAAGTTTTTTTGGTCATCAGACATATTTTTATCAAGATATTTGATACAATTTTCAAAATATTTAGATTTTTTTTGAGCTGTTTACTGACATTTTAATTTTTCGACTTCTTTAGTTTTTTTTTTCTATAAATATCGATAAAAATGTATTTGTTGGGTTGAAAAGCTTGAAAATTTAATACAAGGCTTCTAACACATTGTAACAATAGCAGTTTATGTCATAACTAAAGACCAGATTTATTCGTTTTTACATATCGTTACTGAGCCTATGCAGTTTATGAGAGTAATGTGGATGATTCGTTCAATACTGATATATATATATAAAGAAAGGGGATGATTATCCGGAAAATATAAGGGATGATTATCCGGAAAATTAGGGATTATTATCTGGAAAATTTAGGAGACGATTATCCAAAAATTTAGAGGATGATACTCCGGGAAATATAGGGGATGGTCATTCGGAAATTAGGGGTGATTATATGGAAAATTTAKGGGATGATATTCCGGGAAATATAGGGGTTGATCATCCAGTAAAATTTAGGGGAACATTATCTGGAAGATATAGGGGATGATTATCCGTAAAATTAAGGGGATGACTATCCGTGAAATTTAGGGGATTATTATCCGGTGCATATAGGTGAAGATTATCCCTGAAAATATAAGGGACGATTATTCAGTAAAATTTAGGGGAACATTATCTGAAAGATATAGGGGATGATTATCCGTAAAATTAAGGGGATGATTATCCGTGAAATTTAGGGGATTATCCGGAAAATTAGGGATGATTATCTGAAAATTTAGGGGATGATTATCTGAAAAAATTTAGGGGATGATTATTTGAAAATTTTAGGGGATGATACTCCGAAAAAAAATAGGGGATGATTATCCGGAAGATATAAGGGTTGATTATCCCGAAAAATTAAAGAAATACTATTATAGAATTATTATTTATATGTCACATTGATATCAAAATTTAAAAATTTAGTACTCAAAATAATGATGTTAAATTGATATTATGAAAAAAATTTAAAAGGATTATTATTGGTTCTGAACAGAGTTATTTGAATTTACAA